GAAAAAATGGGGCTCTGGGATTATACTGTGTTGTCATATCAATTATGACGTCTACACAGAAACAGTTCATAAGACAAATCTGTTGTCATATCATTAAGATAGAGGAGGATGAATGACCAGTGTATGTTTATAAATGTACTTTTCCTGCAGCAACTAGCCCAATGGTTCTTTTCCAGAGAGATGCATTTATTCGGATAAAGATATTTGTTACAGATGACAGAAATCCAGCTGAATACTTGTAAATATTACAATGAACAACAGCTCTCAGAGTCCCACTTAAGATACTTCACTTCAAGCATGGAGATAGTACACCGTCCAGCACATGTCCGATCTATAATATGCACCTAGGTAGCTTCCATGCATTCAATAATGTGAGTTATGATCTATACCTGTGCTTCCATATTAATGAAAGGAAGAACTCCTCATAAAGCAGAGATACAGCTAAGGCACATGAGAGGGTATTTAGAATATTCATAAAACCATCAAACTCAGAGGGCTCACTTTCTCCTGTCACACTTAACCAAAAAGAAGCTTCCTTAATATACACATTTTTCCCATTCAGTACAATGGCAAGCACTCTGATTGGCCACTTTTAGTAGCCCCTTTGATCTTCTGGGTGACAGGTAATGCCTTTTGGGCTTGGACAACTGCAGTCATAATTCTAATCAAAGTTGTCCAGATATTTCCTAAACTGCCTTCTTTTGCTATTAATTAGATAAATAAGTTGCCCCTTGAAGAATGCTATTTACCCTTTTCATGTTTATTAGATAGTAGATGTTGACCAAATCCTTTCAAGTCTGATTTGAGCTATCTGCATTTTATCACCCTTGCAAGTTTGCAAATTTTCCTCCTTTCAAATGTAACAAGTGGCCCCTGAGTGCCAAGGTGATATTGCATAAAATGAACATAGCAAAGAATCCTTGGTTATGCATTTGTTGTGTAAAATACATCTAGCTCAGTCCTAGAATATACCACAAGCAGGCAGGATTGGTAGAAAAGGTAGAGAAACAAAAAGTTCTCTTTCTGCACCCTCCCACTCTCACAGGAGACCAGCAAGAAGAGAAGTAGGAATGTCAGATGTTCTCAGATGGCAATGAAGAAAAGTTGTTACATGGAGCTTGGTGTTCCGGGCATTAAGTCAGCTTTTTCATTTATGGGACAGTTGAATAGGTCTATCAATTTGCGCTTTGGTAAGGGAAACTTGTAGGTCCGACTCCCATTTGTGGATATATGAGGATACAAAGTCCTCTGTAGGTGCATTCAGCAATTTGTATAGTTTGGGTAGCAGATGGGGCACAAACTTGTTTCATTACACAAGTGTTTCATTATTCAAGTGTTTGAAAGGGGTGTAATACCCGGGTCAGGGAACAATTGCAGGAAATGATGCAACTGATTCGCTGATCAAGGGCTCAGTGGGCACTGTACCTGGGCAATAATACCCTGCAATGATATCCACATAGGGCCACTAGGGAGGAATATTGTTCAATCTGAGCCCATAATGCATACTGTGGCATGGTGTACCACAGGGGTATCAAACTGGCAGCCCTCCAGATGTTTCAAAACTACAAGTCCTATCATGCCTCTGCCTTTGAGAGTCATGCTTGTAACTGTCAAACTTGCAATGCCTCATGGGACTTGTAGTTTGGCAACAGCTGGAGGGACGCCCATGAGACACCCTTATTACGTTACAACCCTAAACACATGGAAGGTTTTTTTAATGGCCAAATCAGGGAGCCCAAAACCTCTGCTTACTTTGGGGAGAGTGAGCTACTTTGTCTCCCCATATAAACTTTATTAGCATGGTACACAAAGAAGCAAAAAAAATGACTGGGGTATTTTGATCAGTAACACTTGGTTTAGATATAAAATCTGGGGCAACGACGTAATTTTGCAGGCTTTACATCGACCAGTTAACCCCTGCCAGTTTTGAAGATCCGAGTGGGTCTTTGCAACAGGGGGCTGAAGTTGGCCTCATATAATGTAGACTGTTTTGGAGTAACCTCAGAGTGGAATGAATATGATTGTTTTAAATTGGCCACTCTTTCATGGGAAAGAGCTATGTTCAGAACCTCAGATTTTGAATAATTGATGGAAAAGTTTGAAAGTTCCTCATGCTGGGTAAACAAGTTTAATAGTACAGGCAGGGTGGACTCAGGCTCTGTAAAGGCAGAACAGGAGATCAGCAGAGATCTTGTGTTCTATATTCTAGAACTGGGGAACCTTAGTCTTATGACTACAAAGTCATTTGTGTCCACCTCAGCATTAGGGGTGAGGTGCTGGTGCAGTCCAAATTTAGCTTTTTCAGATCTTTGGCAAATGGCCAATTAAATTGGTGTTTGATTGACAGTGGGAAATTAAAATTTTAGCAGTGGCATTGCTAGCACTGGTAAATGTGACATCTTCCTTTCAGGCTGGTTGATAGGAAGCCAGCAGCTTTACATATACTAGCAACCATGAGCCATCCCTGCCTGGTCCAGTCAGCTGGAATGTAAACAAAGGATGGAGATTGTGTTAAAAATAAAAAAATAACATTGGCATGGGTCTTACTTTCCCACCCAATAATCATACCAGAATCTTGAAATTTTGAATGAATTTTAAGGGGGAACCGCTTGCAAAAAAAAAACAAGAAAAATAAAGTATGACACACCCCTCCAAACTCCACAGCAGACGTTTATCTGAGCATTTAGCCTGGCTGGCCAAAAAAAAGAATGAACAAGCCTCTCCCTCCTAAACCATGCCAGGTCACATGCCATAAAAAGGGGGGGGGGAATCCCTGTGAACATCAGTTATTATGTAGTAGGTTGTATACATAATACAGATGCACAATTTTACATGAGTGTTCGGTGAATCCCAGGCATGCTCTTTTAAGGAATTTAGCATTTTTAATATTTCACCTAAAGCATTATTAAAATTTCTGCTCCCCATCAAACTGATTTTTTTTTAAAAACTTCTTTATTCACTTAGGTACAAGTTCCCTATACCATTTGTTTGACAATCCCACAACTATTAGTCTAGGAAATTAGGAAATAGCTATGACTTTTTTTTTAATATTCAGCTTCCTTTGAACTCAATGGAATTTAGATTTGACACCCAGACTTTAGTAATGCTCACCTAACCTGCCTCAAACTGAACAGAGGTATGTTTGTCTCATTCCTACTTACCATGTGACTAGACACTGAAATGAGAAGCAGCACAATCCTTGATGACTTCTCTACCTGGCTACCTTACTTTCTCTCTTCTGAAATTCCCATAATCATCATCGGTGACTTCAACATCCCTGTTATTACTTACACTCCTGCTACTTCTAAACTTCTTAGTCTAACCTTTTTCTTTGACCTAAAGCAATGGATACATGCTTCTACCCACTTTGATGGTGTATCACCCCACTAGTTAGCTAGGGGGAGCTGGTTAGTTTTTTAGCAAACGCTGAGTAGCAGCCTGGGATGAGTGAGCCAGGTTACTCTGGGTCAGGGCTGAGGGCTCTACAGGTCAGTTCCCTGATACCTCTACCTGCTCTAGAAGCTTGAGAAGTTTCTCAAAGGCAGTGGGTGGGGGTGATGAAGGGCTGATCTGCATACTCAAGGGATTCTGACCAATCCCCAGACAGAAGGCTTGGCATGGGGTCAGAACAGCCCTTAAGTATGATAAAGCCTGCTCAGGAGAGTCCAGGTGGAAGGTGGAGTGAGAGGCTGGGTTGCAGGAGCCTGGAAGAGGGCCCAGTGAAGGGCCTAATACAGGCAAAGTTGCTGGATACGAGGATCTCTCAGCCTCAGCTGAGAGGACAGCCTGGGAAGCAGGGAAGGAGCCAGCCCAGCATAAGGCCTGAAGGCAGCCACCAACTCACAAGCTTACAGGAGAGGCCTGAGTGAGTAACCCTACACCTCCTGGACCAGATAAGGGAAGAGGGCACTCTGGGGGGGAAACATGACTAGTTCCCCACCTGGGACTGTTTATTTTTAAGTGACAGCTTCTGGATCCCCTTGCCCAGGGATTTCCTCAGGCAGCTGGGTGAAGAGGATAATTCATCTGGGGTATGCGGTGAGAGACTTTGCTGTTTATGGACTTGTACATAGTTGCTAAGGAATTTATCCTCAGTTGTCCTCAGTTGCAGTTCCCTTGGACATCCCATACATCCTTTAACCCCATCCAAGTTCAATACCCCTTAATAAAACCTAAAAAAAAACAAGCTCAAGGACTGTTTACTGTCTCCAGTGACAAAGATCTAAAGAAAATACATGTGCTACAATGGCAAACACCCTTGAGATTGTATTCTCCTACCTATGCGCTCTGTGCAACCTCTCCAACCATACTTTTCCCCTCTCTGATCACCACCACCTCTCCTTCCAACCGCCTAACAATTACCCATAGAAACCTTCGCCACTTTGCAATTCTCTTTTCTTTTTACTACTGACCTCCTTTATGACACAATCTCACCCATGTCCTGCCCCAGTCTAGCCATCTCTGTCTACAATAGATTGATGTCCTCCTCCCTGGATGAGCTCACTCCCCTCACTACACACAGAATCAGTCCCAACCCCTACAACAAAGATTGACACAATTCATGATGAAATCTCCACTCTGCAGATATCCCCTTACTTACCACCCCATGTCCACTGGTACACTGAACACATCCCTTATTCAACCCCCCTACTATAGATGTGGTTGCTAAACTCTTTTCTAATGCCCACCTAATCACCTGTCACTTTGTCTTTATTCACTCTCAAATACCTTGGTCCCCATCTGGCTCTATCCTACACTCTCTAACTCACATCTCCAGTCTCTCCCTCTCTTCTGGCATCTTTCCTAGCTCTCTAAAAACATGCACTAGTCACCCCCATACTTAAAAGCCTTCCTTGGACACCACCAATCTTAATAATCTATGCCCCATCTCCTTGCTCCCCTTTTCTTCACAACTCCTTGAATGCCTGGTCTACAACCAACTGTGTGATCCCTTCATTAAAGTGTTACTAAACCCACTACAGTAAAATCAGCCAGTATATGCAGTAAAGCATGCTTGTTATACTCACTGTGGAACCTAAGGGGTTAATCCTCTGCATTGTGTAAAAAGGCAGTTTGATCCTTTCTTCTCTGTTCCTCCCCTTTTTCAAGTGACCACCTCTTATTTCCTGATAAGACAGACTGAACCATAGGCACTTGCATGTGCTCAATTTGGTGTGTATTGCTAGAGAGATTTTTTTTTTTATTTTCTTGGGAGAGTGCATGAGATCAGCACAGGGCCAATCAGCACTGGTCAGACAGAGGTCAGGGGATTTCCATCCTTCTATAGCAGAAAGAAAACTCCTCCTACAAGTTTTGGCTAGTGCTTGGCTAGACACTGATAGAAGTTACACGACTGCTCTAACTGTTGCTGAGGTATTTAGTAGAGTTCACACTGTGTGGAAAGGGCCTAAAGCTGTTGTGTGCTAGTAGAACCAAACTAAACAGGTCATGCATAAGGACAAGGAGTGACATGAGAGTGCAGAACTCATGCTTGCCACTCTGTGGTCCTAAACATTTAATATACATGCTGGGCTAAATACATTTTTTTTTTGTAACCTCAAGATTAAAATTAATCTAAGCTACAGTATGAAAAAATAAAGTACAGTTATAGAATCATAACAAAATAAAAAAAAAAATTCTGTTGTTTTCCTTTAAATTTATAAATGGTAAAAAAAACCTTTGTTTTATTATCATGAGTTTTCTTTTTGGGTAACTCTGCAGTAAAGATTTTATATTCCATGTCATGTAATGAAATATGTATATTTTTCCAAAGGGCTATATACTAATATTACATATCATTAGCCCAAAGCAGGTGATAAATCATTTACAAAGTGACAGTACATGCTTGTACGCTGTCTACAACTGAACACTCACCTATTAGCTGCATCAATAATAGCAGGATATTTGCTCATGGGGTGACTCATCATATACATCACACAAATTAGTTTTAATTGGCATAGTTATTGTCATTTACACAGGTTACTGTAAGATTGTCATTGCATACACAATAACATCAAATGCAAAGCTTTTCAAAGACAGAATAATATTATATGTATTATAAAATAAATTATTCAATTAAAGTGGGTATGAGAAGGGGAAAGTAATGATTTAAACCTCAGTTATAGGTATTTAGCTCCACTTTAATTAATGGAATATCTATGTTTAGGTTTAAACAAATATTGTGGGTCAAGGTTAACAGAATGAGATACATTGCTTGAACAGGCCAATGTATTATTAAATAATATGTGTATTTTAATGATATCTTTAAGTGTAAATGTACATATGTACGTGTGCACATGTACAATTTCTCAAATACAAAAGATTTTTCTGGGGTTAAAACTTAAATAAAGCCAGATCAGGAGCGGACTGACAATTTGATCACTCGGGCACTGCCCGAGGGCCCGGGATCAGTAGGGGGCCCCATGAAATGCCCCTGGCACTTTTTATAGGCTTTTTTGTGTGTGCTTTGAGTGTGGGCAAGGACACAGGGGCCCCATGATCCCCTATTGCCCGGGGGCCCATGAGTTGTCAGTCCACCCCTGAGCCAGATATACCAAAATGAGTGTAGTCAAAGTAGACAAGCCCTACTTCTCCTATGGATCACAGAAGTTCACTTTGTTTTACACTTCTGTGACGCGTTTGTATCTGACAGTGGGTTAAAACCTGCTGTCAGCTGATATCACAGAGCAAGTCCAGATTCTGAAAAGATCGCAACTCTATGGTCAGGATCAACCCAGAAGCATGACCAACATATGGCTCAGCTTCTCAGCACACTGCCAAGATCCTGATCCAGCCGCCCAAGCCCACTCCACAGCCCAGTACTTCAGGCAGCACTGAAGAGGCAGAGCAGATAGCTGGTGACTGACAGTCACAGCTCTCTGCTCAGAGCGCAGAGGAGAACGGAGTGATCAGCAGCCTTTGATCACTTAGTTCTCAGTGCATAGCTGGTGGAGGACAAATGCAGTATGGGATTGATGCTGGATCCACCTAGGTGAGTACAATCCCCCCCCACTCCATTCTTTTTTTGTAAGTATTTATTTACAATTAATTTTAATTACAGTTTTTAATACCTGATATCAGATTCTGTACAGCAGCATTGGAAGGGAGAGTCAGCAGCCAGGGAGCATCTGGTGTCTTGCAAACAGGGTGAGGGATCAGAGAGATCATGTCATAGGTCTGTCACTGCTCATTCACTGTCCAGTCACAGGCTAAGGGTAGGGAATTGACCTGGATGTTGGACGTTTTGCTTAACTGTAGTGAAAGGTCAGGTTCTTGTGCTGTGTGGCAGGGCTGTGTAATTCTAGTAAGGCAAGTAAAACAAGTAAAACTGCTGTTATATAAATATATATACTGTATATAGATATATATATATATATATATATATATATGTATATATATATATATATATATATATATAAATATATAGATATATATACAGTACATATACTGTATATAATATATACACTGCCCAAACAAATTAAAGGAACACTTTAAAAACACATCATTATCCTATTGGGAAAAATATCATGCTAGATATCTAAACTGATATGGACTTGGCAATGTGTTACATAACATAAGGATGCGTCATCATTTGATTAAAATTATCAACCTACAAAGTACTGAATTCAAAGACACCCCGAAAATAAAAGTGAAACAATGATGCAGCAGGCTACTCCATTTTGCTGAAATGTGATTGCAGCAACTCAAAATGGTATGCATGTATGCATGCCTGACAATGTTGGGGCATGCTCCTAATGAGATGACGGACGTTGTCCTGGGGTATTTCCTCCCAAATCTGTTCCAAGGTATCACTGAGCTCCTAGACAGTCTGAGGTACAACCTGGTGGCGTCAGATATGATATCCCTCAGGTGTTCTATTGGATTTAGGGCAGGGGAGCATGGGGGCTATTCAATGGTATTAATTCCTTCATCCTCCAGGAACTGCCTGTATACTCTTGCCACATGAGGCCGGGTATTGTTGTACACCAGGAGGAACCCAGGATCCACTGCACCAGCGGAGGGTCTGACAATGAATCCAAGGATTTCATCCCGATACCTAATGGAAGTGAGGGTGCCATTGTCTAGCCTGTAGAGGTTTGTGTGTCCCTACATGGACATGCCTCCCCAGACCATCACTGACCCACCACCAAAATGGTCATGCTGAATGATGTTACAAGCAGCATAACTTTCTCCATGGCTTTTCCAGATCCTTTCTAGTCTGTCACATGTGCCCAGGGTGAACCTGCTCTCAGCTGTGAAAAGCACGGGGCGCCAGTGGCGGACCTGCTCAGTCTGGTGTTCAATGGCAAATGCCAATCGAGCTCTATGGTACTGGGCAGTGAGCATAGGGCCCACTAGAGGATGTTGGACCCTCAGACCACCCTCATGCAGTCTGTTTCTGATTGTTTGGTCAGAGACATTCACACCAGTGGCCTGCTGGAGGTCATTTTGTAGGGTTCTTGCAGTGCTCATCCTGTTCCTCCTTGAACAAAGGAGCAGATACCGGTCCTGCTGATGGGTTAAGGACCTTCTATGGCCCTGTCCAGCTCTCCTAGTGTAACTGACTGTCTTCTGGAATCTCCTCCATGCTCTTGAGACTGTGCTGGGAGACACAGCAAATTGTCTGGCAATGGCACATATTGATGTGCCATCCTAGAGGAGTTGGATTGCCTGTGCAACCTCTGTAGGGTCCAGGTATTGCCTCATGCTACCAGTAATGACACTGACCCTAGCCAAATGCAAAACTAGTGAAAAACAGTCAGAAAAGATGAGTAGGCAAAAAAATGTCAGTGGTCTCCACCTGAAAAAACCATTCCTGTTTTGTGGGGTGTCCTGTTGTTCCCCCCATCTAGTGCACCTGTTGTTAATTTCATTAGCATCTAAGCAGCTGAAACTGATTAACAACCCCCTCTGCTACTTAACTGACCAGATCAATATCCCAGGAGTTTAATTGACTTGACGCTATACTTTGATTAAAAAGTGTTCCTTTAATTTTTTTGAGTAGTGTGTGTATATATATACTGAGTGGATATAAAAAGTCTACACACCCCTGGTAAAATGTCAGGTTTCTGTGATGTCAAAAAATGGGACAAAGATAAATCATTTCAGAACTTTAATGTAACCTATAAACTGTACAACTCAGTTGAACGACAAACTGAAATCTTTTAGGTGGAGGGAAGCAAAAATAAAAAACTAACATAATGGGTTGCATAAGTGTGCACACCCTTAAACTAATACTTTGTTGAAGCACCTTTTGATTTTATTACAGCACAGCAGTTTTTTTGGGTATGAGTCTATCAGCATGGTACATCTTGACTTGGCAATATTTGCCCACTCTTCCTTGCAAAAACCTCCAAATCTGTCAGATTACAAGGTCATCTCCTGTGCACAGCCTTCTTCAGATCACCCCACAGATTTTTGATCGGATTCAGGTCTGGGCTCTGGCTGGGCCATTCCAAAACTTTAATCTTCTTCTGGAGAAACCATTCCTTTGTTGATTTGGATGTAAGCTTTGGGTCATTGTCATGCTGAAAGATGAAGTTTCTATTCATGTTCAGCTTTCTAGCAGAAGCCTGTGCCAATGTGACTGGTATTTGGAACTGTTCATAGTTCCCTCTACCATTACTAAGGCCCCAGTTCCAGCTGAAGAAAAACAGCCACAAAGCATGATGCTGCCACCACCATGCTTCACTGTAGGTATGGTATTGTTTTGGTGATGTGCAGTGTTATTTTTGCAACAAACATATCTTTTGGAATTATGGCTAAAAAGTTCAACCTTGGTTTCATCAGACCATAACACATTTTCTCACATGCTTTTTGGAGACTTCAGATGTATTTTTGCAGAATTTAGTCGGGCCTGGATGTTTTTCTTCATAAGAAAATGCTTCCGTCTTGCCACTCTACCCCATAGCCAAAACATATGAAGAATTGTTGTCACGTGTAAAACTCGGCCAGTACTTGCCAAATATTCCTGCAGCTCCTTGCTGTAGGCCTCTTGACAGCCTCCCTGTCAGGGTTTTATTGCTGTCTGTGTCCCTGTCAGGGATATTTGTCCTGAGACCATTGGCCCCGAGACTGAAATTGGGGGGAAATCCAAAATGTTGTGTTGTTACCAGAACAATAATTGAAGAGAAATCCTCAAATTCAGTAACTTATTCCAATGACAACTGTCTAATAGGGCTCAGCAAATATTCTTTTTTGCCTACAGTGAAGGGTATATTCCAACAAATACTCCAACAAGGGAAATAAATAATCCTAGATTCCCCAAAAGCAATCAGATATAGCCTGGTTCAACACTCTCTGATTTTACCTATAAATATTAAAATTCAGTTATCATCTGTGCATTTTGGAATGCATTCAGTGGTCTAGAATTACTTCTTGAGGGAGTCTAATCCATGTGCAGAGGTTAAACCTTTTTTTTCTCCAGACACAGAGTATCCCCCCTTGTCTTTTGGATGGCTACTTTCACTTCTCCACTGTATCTATGGAAGGAGCCATTGTTGCCTCTAGGGATGAGCTTCAGGTTGGGGTTGAACATGTGCCTGGATAAAGGTCTTTTGTGACTTTTTTAGGGGGGCTCAATGCAACATTTTTCGTAAAGGTACAGTACACATTTTTACTATACCCAGATATCCCACCCAGGTGAATGCATATGGGGTAAATAGTACACCTTGTTATGATTTTACAAAGAAATGTAAAAAGTAAATGAACACACCCATACTATGAAAAAGTTAAACTAATTTTAAATACAACATTAAAGTGTTTCTAAACCCAGGACCCTGCATTCACTATATCTGGTCTCCCACAGTACACAGAACATGGAAGTGCAATTATTTTAGTAAATATAAACTGCTAAATACCTTTTCACATCAGCAGTTAGAGCAGTCTTGTGACTTCAGCAGAGCACTGGTTAAAGCTTGTAGGAGGAGTTTTCTTTCTGCTCTAGGAGGATGCAAAACCCCTGACCCACTGTCTGGACAGTGCTGATTGGCCCTGTGCTGATCACATGCACTCTCCAAAGAAAAAAAAAAAACATCTCTAGCAATACGCACTAAACTGAGCATGTGCATATGGCTATGGGTTCAGTCTGTCTTATCAGGATAAGACGTGAACATTTGAACAAGAGGTGGGGCAGAGAAAACAGGATAAAATTACCGTTTTACACAATGCAGAGGATTAACCCCTTAGGTTCCACAGTGATTATAACAAGCATGCTTTACTGCATATACAGCCTGATTTTACTGTTGTGGATTTAGTACCACTGTAGGCTCCCTAGAAGTCTGATTATGTCAGTATTTCTGTGCTCAAAAATTTACATTTTTTGCATGGAAATATGTAGTTTTGTTTATTGTAGGTCTATAATTTTTAGGAATAACTCACTGAAATCTGTCCGAACAAGAGTCTAGTAAACATCCCGGGTATGATACAATTTGAAACACGCAATCATAAATTATAATTTAATAAATAATCATAAAAAATAATAATATAACAATAATACATTTAATTCAATAATATAATCAAACCAAAAACACTGAAATTTGAAATAAAACGCCACGTTCGCACATCACTGAGCAAAGTCGCAAAATCGTTTTCAGTGTCTGATGACGAATTTCCCCACGAATCATTATCACTCAATTCTGCAAGTGATTCTAATTTACTATCGCTGTTCTCTAGCTGGTCTAAAACGCTATTGACCTAAAGGGACGCTTTTTGGACGCCATGGACGTTTCTCAGTTTCAAGGCAGAAAGAACAGTAAAAATGCAGGCAGGGCACAGGACAAAGCACTAGGGACAAAATGTATGTGAAATGGTTTGATACAGTAATGGTTTACTATGTGATTTTAGTGTATTGAGTGAATGTCACTTTTTGACATATTTAAATTTCCCGCCAGTTCTGTCCCCGTATGTCCTGATGTCGCAGGGAGCGGAACCCGGAAGACAGATGCCTGCATCGGCCGGAGGACATTGCTGGGGATGCTGCAGGAGGGACATCGCGGGGAGCGCAGGACAAGGTAAGTGAGGAAGAGAACCCGGAGCAGCGCTGCAAGGTAATCCTGAGTGTAGCTCGGGGTTACCGCTTGTGGTGCTGAAACTTTACTCCTAGCTACACTCGGAAATACCTCCAGGGAGGTTAATCAAGTCATCCAGCAATGCAGATCCTCATCAATCTCCCGCATGACCAGCCACTGTGCTAGCACTAGCTTGACAGTAGCATGGTCATAGTCAGGGGCGGACTGACAACTCATGGGGCCCCCAGGCAATAGGGGATCATGGGGCCCCTGTGTCCTCACCCACACCTAAAAAAGCCTATGAAAAATCCAATGAAAGGTACCAGGGGCATCTCATGGGGCCCCCTACTGACCCCGGGCCCTCGGGTAGTGCTCGAGTGCTGGAATGGTCAGTCCGTCCCTGGTCGTAGTGCTACTGCAGCTAAATGATAGATCCCCAGGAAGCTTCTGTTTGTAAAAAACTATTTGAAATCTTAACAAAAACCTAAAGTATTATCCCTGATTCACATTGATATATACACCTGTCATTATACAGTATACAGTATAACCATCACATTGATCACCATCTGGATTACTCTTCCAATTCCATAAAAGCATATGCTGTAATAAGAGGGAGAGTTCGCAGAGTGTAATTTTTTTTTTATTAAAGTGTTACTAAACCCACAACAGTAAAATCAGTCTGTATATGCAGTAAAGCATGCTTGTTATACTCACTGTGGAACCTAAGGGGTTAATCCTCTGCATTGTGTAAAAAGGCTGTCTGATCCTGTTGTTCCTGTCTTCTCTAATCCACCCCTTCTTCTACAGTCCCCAATCCATCAGCTGATAGTACAGAGCCCTAGGACACTCTGCACTTGCTCAGTCTGGTGTGTATTGTTAGAGGGGTTTTTTTTTGGAGGGTGCATGTGATCAGCACAGGGCTAATCAGCACTGTCCAGACAAAGGGACAGGGGTCATGCAGTCTCATAGGACAGTCAGAGAAGAATAAAAACTCCTCCTACAAGCTTTAACCAGTGCTTGACCAGAGAGAGCAATATGGGACTGAGAATTCCACCCAATTCCTGATGTTGGATGTCAGTGGAGTCCCAGGGGTCATCAATCAAAGCTGTATACAGGGAGCCAAGTCTCACTCCTCTCCAGTCACCCCAAACTCTCTCTCTATAGTTGTCAACTGCCAACCAACTTTTTTTTAACAAACTTTGCATGTCTCTTATTACAGGCTGGGCTGAACCAACATGATGGCAGAGCCACCCAGCTACCAGATATGTACAAAATGGAAAAAAACCCACATGTGTGAAGAATAAATCAATAGATATCAAAATGATTGATTTAATCATTAGAATTATTTAATGTAAATTCAAATTAAAGCAGAAATGTTATTACCAGTAAGCATTGGTGCTTTCATACCTTAATAGTTAATGCTTCTTCTTTCTTCCCAAGTGTGCCCTGTTGAGAAAGCCAGGGTGCATTTTTTGAATCGGGGCATCTTTCTCTATAACATCCGTGTTGGTCGCTATGCTGTGTATCCCCCTGGCCACCGATCTTGTCTCTGCCCGATGTAGTTCTTTACAGCGAGCAAGGACATAAGTGCATCCCTGCTTGCTGTAGTGAGAGGGGAGGAATCAGGAGTCTGAAACTCCCGCTCAGAGCCACCCACTGTGCCTATCAGGATAGTGACTGGTTATGTGGGCATACAGTCCTTGGCACTAACTCCACCCACCACTCCCTGTCCTCTCCAACACAGATTTGCTGCACACAATGCCTCTCATTTCCTACATTTCCCTTTGCATTGTGGGAAATCAAATCTTTTTCCCTGAAGTGATTTGCAGCAAGAGAGAAGGCCCTCCTTCCGGGGCCAGGAAGAAGCACTGTCTTCCAAGGATGTCATGATGTCACTGGGACTGAACATTTTGGATTACAAGATAAGTAAGGCAATGTAATTTAAACTTTGTTAGTGATTTAACACAGCATCATGGAGAGGATCTGAACTTGCAAAGTTGTCTAGATCCTGGAGTTAATCTTTAAATGTAATTTAATTTTAATTGAAGTAAATAATTTTGAATTAATATTTAAAAAATAATAATTAAAAAGAATAACTTAAAAATAATTGATATATATATAAATTAAAGGGACTGTTGAATATCTAAAAACAATGATAAGAAAACCATACATACAGTAAATATTCCTACTATATTAGTCTCTTGTTTTCTCTCTGCCAAAGCAAACATATCACCGGAGTGTCAGGTTGGTGTATGACCCCCCCATAGTGGGTGACCCGACTCCTGTCTGATCTCAGGGCTGATAAATGACACACTTTCTGACCAATATTGCCAGTTAACAAAACCTCTGTTTAGCTTTACAATATCTTTGTAATTTTTCATAGCTGGTCTGATGGTTCACCAACTCCTGCCACAATGCACAGCCAAGCCAGTGACACCCCTACTTCCTGCCGCAGCTTTTCAACTTCCACAGGTTGACGTTCACATGGAGACTCCACCACAGTGTGACGTTCACATTGAGACTCCACCACAGTGTAACATTCAAATGGAGATTCCACCAAAGTGTGACGGTAACATTGAGACTCCACCACAGTGTAATATTCAAATGGAGATTCCACCAAAGTGTGACGTTAACATTGAGACTCCACCACAGTGTAACGCTCACATAGAGACTCCACCACAGTGTAACGTTCACATGGAGACTCCACCACAGTGTGATGTTCACTTTGAGACTCCACCACAGTGTAACGTTCACATGGAGACTCAACCAGAGTGTGACGTTCACTTGGAGACTCCACCACAGTGTAAGGTTCACATAGAGACTCCACCACAGTGTGACGTTCACTTGTAGACTCCCCCACAGTCTGACGTTCACATGGAGACTCCACCAGAGTGTGACTTTCACTTGGAGACTTCACTACAGTGTGATGTTCACATTGAGACTCTACCACAGTGTGATGTTCGCATTGAGACTCCACCACAGTGTAACGTTCACACGGAAACTCCACCACAGTGTGTCATTCACTTGGAGACTCCACCACAGTGTGACATTCACTTGGAGACTCCACCACAGTGTGACGCTCACATTGAGACAAGTAGAAATACACTTTAATGCATGCCAAGTATGTGATGTAAACAATTTGTGTATTTTTAATGTTAATCCATATTAAAAAACCCTCTACCTTCTGATCAGCATTTCTAAAAAAAAAGAAATCTTTGTATTGGTATATATCCCTCAAGGCAGTGCTCAGTTGCACCTTTTTAACAATATCATGCAAATTAGTCATAAAAGAGGCCAGAAAAGTAGCAAGATCAGCTTTTGCATTTCAGTTATTTATCCCATTAAAAGCCATTCAGCTGTGCAACTGCAGGCTTAGTTTTGAAGGTATTTGATAGCTCAGTATGTTAGTCACAACATACGTAATGCTTTGAATAAAAATACCCACTGGCACTTATTCATGGAAATTGGCTTCCTCCTAATCAATCATTGTTATGTTTTATTTATTTATCATTGCCCTCCACCTTGTCATGACTCACTGCCAACAACATCATCCATCATCCTCTTGCATTTTACCTGGTTTCTTTGTAGCATAAAAAAGAGCCAGTTTGCACTGGATAAAAAAAAAAAAAACAAAACATTTCAGCTTAGGCAAAAGTGTCAAGCTGCTTAAGGTGCTTTTCTACTAACATGACAGCAAGGCTGTCCATGTATGAGCCTGCAGACCTATAGCAAGATATATAATACTAAGGTTGCTGATAACAAAATGTATCTTTTTGTATTGATGTTGTACTGGTTGAGAAGATGAGTTTTTGGTTCAAATCAATCAGTTGAGCTATTTGCAATTTGTAAACATGTCGAACTAATAGGATGCTTGTTTGCTGCAATAGCAAGCATTACCAATCATTCACTTTTTGGTCCCTGAAATATGATCAGGTTTGGAAAGGCCCATCATGGGATTTTTTCCCAATGTGCAAGCATCATCCCTAAAAAGTCAAGATTCCTTATAGACTTTGTTCCAGCTGGTAGGAAGGAGGTAAAGAATTTCAGCAGAGATGTTTAGAATTTGGTGCTAATGCTGATAGCAGAAACAAATCTCTCTATTTTTACATGCAGTCATAGACACACAGGGAGTATGTTTTGCAGTGTTTTAGCAGATTAATTTGAGAAATTTCCAGTGTTATTAGGGACAGTTACATGCTGGTGAAAACAGACATACAGTATTTTTATTGGGACACAGTGGGGTTTATTTACTAAAGCTGGAGAGTCCAAAATCAGACTCCCTTCTGCATAGAAACCAATCAGCTTCTAACCTCAGCTTGTTCAATGAAGCTTTGTCAATGAAACCTGGAAGCTGATTGGTTTCTATGCAGAAGGGAGTCTGATTTTGGACTCTCCAGCTTTAGTAAATAAACCCCAGTGCGTCTTTTGCATGAGCCTATATTATAGACATCCCAGAGTTTTATCTAGGCAGATATGCCTTTCTATGTTTGTCGCTTCACTTGTTGTATGACAATTATACCCCTCCTTATTTTATTTATTTTTTTGGGGACCCGGGGGTTGATTTTTTATTTGTATTGTATTTTTATTGTTTGTATTTTTTTTGTTAGGTTAAAAAAGGGGGGTGGGTTGTGGTTTAGAGTTTAGTAATCGTGTTTAAGAATTGTGCATATGATACACATGAATACACTGAAATGTTGATTTTATTCATGAAAATCTGGCTGGTATGAGTCCTGATATGAAAGTGGCTTAGTTTTGTTTTTTAAAGGCAATATACCTTCTTACTACAATATTTTGGAGACTCTTTAACATGAAATATGAATACTGTTGGGGAGATTTACTAAGACTGGGGCACAAGAATCTGGTGCAGTTTTGTGTAGTGACTAGTCAGCTTCTGGGTTTTATTGTCAAAGCTTAAATGATAAGTTCATCTTTCGTAACATGTTACATATTACATCCATATTCAGGGGTGTAATGTGTTACGATAAGACTGGCCCCTGGTATTCCCCGCTTTGACAGCTAGCGGGGGGATCTTCTCCCCCCTTGCTAGCTGTGAAATGTTTAAAAAAAACACACCCATGCAGGGCTCTGTCCACATGGCCGCATCGATCATTCACAGTCATCTGTGCATAAGAGACTACAAGTCCTGACAGTCTTAGTGGCTGTCAGCCTGTAGTTCTCAATGAACTACCACTGTTCTGTGAAGTGCCACGGTAGTTAATTTATTCTTCCTGTCAGTATAGCTGATTGCTCGTGCATCCCAAATGGGCAAGCAGATATACTGACAGATCTGCAGGGGACCTGCATGGCAACAGCGATCTGCTGATCGCTGGTGCAATGCTTTTCCAGGCTCCAATGCTTTCCAGGCTTGCAAAAATAATAAGTGCACA